TCTCTCTCTCTCTCTCTCTCTCTCTCTCTGCCTTTCTTTCACTCTCTCCTTTCTCTCTCCACTCTCTCTTTCTCTCTACCTCCCTTCTCTCTCCCTTTACTCTCTATCCCCTCTCTCTCTCTCTCTCTCTCTCTCTCTCTCTCTCTCTCTCTCTCTCTTTCCCTTCTTTCATTCTCTTCTTTTACACTCTCTCTCTTTTTTCATTCGTTCTCTCTCTTCCTTTTCTCCTGCTCTCACTGTCTCTCTCTCTCCTCTCCTTCCACTCTCTCCCTTCTCTTTCTGTCTCTCTCTGTCTTTCTCTCATTCTCTCACACTTCTTTCTCTCTCTCTCTCTCCATTCCATATCTCTCGCTCTCGCTCTCTCTCTTCGCTACCCTCATTCTTCTTTCACAGATCAATACTTGCCCTCCTGATAAGGTGAATGGATTGATCGTCTCTTCATCTTAGTCTTCCTTGTGTTGGACGTCGCAGTGATCTCTCTGCAGCAGATCAGTAACTGTGAATTCTCTTCTGACGTCTTCTCCGCGCTAACAGAAACTTTTATCTTGAAGGATAATTGCAGAGAACAGCCTGAAGGAAGGCGAGAGGAATTCTCCGGATACTCGGGGGACATCGAGGGGGGAGCGTACCATCATCTCGATAGCAGAATCTGTGGATGTTGTGGATTCTTCTTCTTCTGCACACAGTATAGGAGGGAAGAAGGTAAAAGAAAGACTCGTAATCTGTGTCTGCAGTATGATAGGGTCATAGAGATTGTATTGTGCCCAGTGAGGAATGAGAAGTCTGAGCTGACTGATAACTGTTCAGTACTAAGCAGGAAGCAGAGCCCGCCTATGTAACATATAACGATGGCTTTAAATCCCCTTTAAATTTCCGTTAAACGCAGAGAGAGGACGACCACATGAAACTCTTGATGGAGTTTGAGCAATGGCTGAAGATGGAGAACAAGGAACTGAATCGGGTTTGTGCAGAAGAATCGTCCAGAACTGATGGAGAGAGCACGAGGCAGAGCAGACTGCGGGTAGGATGGTTGGGATTTTGTAAATATGATACAGCAAAGTCTAGAATTCGGCCTGCAAATAGCTTGAGTGTTTTATCAGTAAATTCCTACGGGACGGTCAGGCTGGGGAGGAAAGCACTAGATGATGCTGGATGTCCTCCAGTCAGGAAATGAGGCGTGGCTCTATCTGACTTGCTGCAGCTTCTAATGCACTATGTGAGAAGCTCCCAGACATCAGAGGAAGCCATTTCAGCCGGTACAACTGTGCAAGACTGAAGGGAAGACGGGAGTACAGCTTTATTGAGGACGTATTGTATATGGCAATTACAAAATCAGAGTGGGGAGGGGTTAGAACTTCCCAACTGTGTCTTCCTCTCTAAGTGACAACTACTTCCCCCTCCCTATTTTTTGTACTGGTGTCACCAGGGCAAATCTTCCTTATGGGGTCACACACAGAAATAAAAACCTGATAAAAAAAATGTATGTCACTCATCATCTAACACTAAAAAAAATTTGGGCTCGAGTTGGGCTTGATGATCATGTGGAAGCACATAATGTGCCATCATTCGGGGCCCTTTCACACAGCTGTGCTTTATGACCACTTAGAAGCAGTGGCGTCACAAGGGGAGTGCGGGCTGCACCTGGGAGACACCATTGGAGGGGTTACACCAAAATGACTGACAGTCATTTTGGTGTCACCCCCTCTAAAAAGTCGGGCATTCAGTCATGGACCGAGAGCCAGACAGTGTCAGGAGAGAGGAGAGGCATCCAGCACTAAGATGGCCGCCGGTAGGCATCAACTAGATGACCTTGCATGCGCGATGACGTCATGGTGGGGTGACACCCGGCCTCATGACGTCCCTGCTTAGAAGCACATGGTGTCCCACTATTCAGGGCCCATTCACACCATCGCATTGCATGATAACCAACCAAGGATGCGATGAATAGTAACGCACAATGCATGGCACAATTCATTGCCATGCCACTTTTTCTAAATGGCACCCCAACCCATCCACACAGCTCTCCTGCACTACAATCTGCATTTTGGTGTGTTCCAGTAAAAAAAAAAAAAAAAAAATAGAGCAGGAATGATTTCCTTCCAGCATTGGGGACCATTCAAAACAAATGGACTGCGGTAATGCATCGTGCCTCAATGCACAGTAAAGCACGTTGGGGCAGCTGCCTTACTGCAACCCAACATGGTGTGCATGAGCCCTGAAATCTATACTGAGGAGGCGGGGCCACACACAGCTGCTGACATTGTTTGTGTTCCCCCAACAATCTATTGATTCCCAACTTGCATTGTCCTAGAGAAAGTTAGAAGATGACAGTAAACATCCTAGTTTGTGTTGTACATATTATTATTATACAGGATTTATATAGCGCCAACAGTTTGCGCAGCGCTTTACAATATAAGGAAGACATTACATTCACAATACAATTCAAGACAAGATGGTAAGGAGGGCCCTGCCCCTGAGGGCTTACAATCTAAAAGAGAGGGGGAAGTGATACATGAGGAGGGAGCTGTGTGGGGATGAATTGTTTGAGAATGTGGATGGTTGTGCGGTTAGGTTGAGGTGGGATAGGCTTCCCTGAAGAGATGAGTCTTAAGGGATTGCCTAAAGGCAGTCAGAGTGGGAGATAGACGGACAGGTTGGGGTAGAGAGTTCCATAGGATGAGAGAGGCTCTAGTGAAGTCCTGAAGGCGAGCATGGTAGGAGTTGACGAGGGAGCTGGAAAGCAGGAGGTCTTGGGAAGAGCAGAGGGGACGGTTAGGGTGATACTTTGAGACCAGGTTGGAGATATAGCCGGGGACAGAGTTGTGGATGGCTTTGTAAGTCATTGTAAATATTTAGAATTTTATCCTTTTGAGCAATTGGAAGCCAGTGGAGGGATTGACATGGAGAGGGGCGGTGGATGAAAGCTAGTGGAGGGATTGACATGGAGAGGGGCGGTGGACGGAAGCTAGTGGAGGGATTGACATGGAGAGGGGCACACTGAGCGGTTAGTTAGGTTGATGAGTCTAGCAGCAGCATTCATGATAGACTGATGGGGGGAGGAGCCTGTGTAGAGGTCGGCCAATGAGGAGGGAGTTGCAATAGTGAAGACGAGAGATAACAAGGGAGTGGATGAGTATAATATTCGGTAACGGTTTGCTCTTGTTATGTGCAGATATTGAAGTCGCGGGTTCCTCAGGGGCAGAAGCTTTTTGGAGCTCTCCTTCAGTGCCGACCGGCCATGTCTGTGACGGAGGACCTCAGGTTGGAAGATCTGCGATACCGCTGGATGCTCTACAAATCCAAACTCCGGGATTCTGGAAGCCATACGGTATGGGGACCAGAAATCTGAAAGGAAGAGCAAATCTTTGTAAAAATGCATCAAAATGATCTTGTGTCTCTAGTTGGGGGAACGGCTGATAATCTCTGTAAAGCTTTGTGGCAGTGAGTGCCATTTCTTCTCACGTTTTATGGAATGTCTTCTTGCTCAGACCAGCGCTGAGGGGCCACTTGGATGGCACTGATTGTCCACAGATGTTGAGGTGATAGGGCAAGGGCTTATGTATCAACTGGCTGTTGAAAGAAAAAAAAAAGAAGAAGTTCTAATTGAAGCTGAGTTACAGTTTGACCCAACTTTATTAATTTATATAACTCAAAACACATTCTTGTGAGCTTTATGTCAACTGAGCGATTCAACAGCCCTGCCCCTGAAGAGCTCCTGAGCTCGAGTCTTTTCCACATACACACTATTCACTTCAGTTCTGCCCTTGAGCATCCAGCTATCTTTTTTCTCCACTACAGACCCCTTTCATCTCAGTCCTGCCCCTAAAGGGCTGGTACACTCCAATCTCTACCACAGACACACACACTATTCACATTGGTTCCGCCCCTGAGGAGCTGATCTTCCCTACTGCAGACAGGTCCACCCCTCTGAGGAGCTAACAATCTCATTCCCTGCTACATATAAAACAGACACCATCCACATTATTCCCTCCCTTGAGGAGCTAAGGATGTCACGACTATAAACACACACTAGAGCTAGTTTGGGTGGAAGATAATTCCTTTTTAGTTTTTTTTTAATAGTAAATAGGCAAAACATAAACTTAAAACCTTAATGCTGAGGGTGTCCTTGGTGAGAATGAGGCCCCAGTACTCCAATCTAACAGGATGCCCCAATTTGTATAACTAATACTAGTTTCGG